AAGAGCAAAGCAAAATTGATTCAAAGTTATTTTCAGATCAAAAGTATAACAAATAAAACTCGGTGAACAATTCATTTCTGATTATTCTCCATTGCCTCATAACATTATCAATGTTTATTAATTATAAAGAAAAACAAAAAAAAATCTTACAACTAAGCACACAAACTGATTAAAATGCAAAAAGTATACCAGTTCGCACATTGACCCGCAAATTATTATTCGGACCAAGAATGATATCGTCCAGCCCTTGTCTGCTTCGAAACTACGCTTTTGCCTGCCATCATGCACAGGTTTTTAGACCCAATGTGAAGGAGCTCACCCTTCAAATATTTCAATACCATCCGGTAGCCTTACCACAAATTAGCTTCGGTTTAAAAAGAAAGATTAAATTAACACCATTGTTCATGACATTCAGAAAAATAAAGCGCCTGGTTACGATAGGACTACAGGTGAAATGATAAGGGAGCTTCCACTAAGTGCCGTACGTTTTTTGTTTCATATTTTTAATAACATTCTTAAGTTGGGGCACTTCCCCGACTTATGGAAACTTTCGGAAATAATTATAGCGCCAAAGCCACTCAAAGATCCGACGGTAGTAAATTTCATATCAGTCCATTAGCTTGATTGCTGTATTTTCCAAAATATTTGAAAAACTTCTATTGAAAAAAATACAACCTTCACCACTAAAGTAACCAAATAATACCACCACATCAGTTTGGTTTTCTTGAAAAAAATGACAGTGTAGAACAAGTTCAGAGAATTTTTTCTTGTATTAGAAAAGCCTTCGAAGGGAAACAATACTGCACCGTTGTATTTTTGGACCTCTCTCAAACTTTTGATAAAGTCTGGCATAATGATCTTATATACAAACTAAAGGCTTGACTCCCTGCAAATACGCATGCAATTCGGGAAAGCTTTCTGCTGGGGAGAAACTTCAGAGTCAGACAGAATTTCTTTAGAACGGGAAGTCACCCTGTATATGCAGGTGTCCCTCAAGGCAGTGTTCTAGGACACACATTGTACGTAATATTCACTCGTGGTTTGCCAACTGATGAAACTCTAACCATTTCAACGTTTGATGATGACACAGCTATCCTAAGCAATAGTTGAGATAAAGGGCTACAAGAGTATTTGAAAAAGTTAGAGTTATGAGTTAGAGTTAAAGGTTAACGAAAGCAAGTGTGTTCAGAAAACATTTACTTTGAAGAAAGAAACTTGCCAACCAAAAAAAGATAGTGTCAAGTACCTGGGGATGACACTAGATAGAAGACTTACCTGGAAAAAGCATATAGAAAACAAAATTTCTCAAGCGTAACTTAAACAAGCAAGCCTTCAATGTGTAATTCTTAACAGCTCCAAAGTTATTATATATCGAAAATAGTATCTTTGTAAAACTGGGGCTAAGTAAGTAGAACACAATTAAAGAAGGTAAATAGAAACTTATGCTTAGTTTTGTTCTACATATATAGTGGCAAAATTATATAAATAAAAGAACAACGATTAAGAATCCAGATACCACTTTTCACATATTAAAACCTATTTTACAAATTTTTTTATGATCACTTTAATTACACTTTCATTTAATTTTTCTGTTCTAGAAATTTGTAATCTGCCTCATACTCGCCTCACTCATCAGTCGAACCCAACTGGCGATGTGTACAGAAGATGAGAACTCAACAGAAACGAATGAAATTATTCCGCGAGAAGCAATCGAAAAATTAGATTTTTCTGTAAGACAAGCCCTGTTACGTGCCATAGATAAGTTGGAGAGAGAAGCAGCAGCTGAAGATTACGACGACGAAGATGAAGATGAAGAAGATCAAACTGTTACCAGCAGTCCGACCGCAGAGCCACTATCCCAAATGCCGGCAAATACGCTAATTGCACCAAGCATCAGCAACGCCGTCACGCCATTCAATAGCAGCACACCCACAAACAGCAATTCCACAAACGCCACCAAAGACGAAATACTTGAGGAGAGCACAAATGGCGCCGATGTGCATCCAAGTGTACAGTTCTACACCGCCATTTTCGATGAGAAACACGCGCACGAACAGCCATTATCGACTTTCATCGACCGCTCACGCATCTGGAAGAAGACTATCAAAAAGATCCATACGGGCACACCGGCGATTTCCGGTGATGACACTGTGGCACATGCCTCTAGCACTTTTGAAAGTAGCCGACAGACCGCACGCAGTGTGGGTAATATACTAAATTCAAACTCAGCGGTGCGCTTAAATGAAATATCTGGCGAAAATTCGGATGAGGTCAAATTTGAAATACGTAAGACACATAACAACGCAGCGACGACAACACCAACTACCACAACAACTACGACGACGACAACTACCACAACTACACCGCGTCCACGTACAACGCGACGTCGTCCACCTACTACGACCACTACAACAACTACAACTACACCACGTCCCACTCACAATGAGGATGGCGAAAATATCGAAGTGGTGGACAAGGGTGACATACGCATACAAGAGGCACCATTGGTGACAGCATTTACCGTGGATTTAGATGAACGTGGCGCGGCTAAGAATGTCATACCCATCTTAGAACAACCGAAGGTACAGCGTCCCTTGGCTTCAGCCAACGGTCAACAGCAGTTCGCTACAGGTCCCACTATCTCAAAGCTGAATGTTTTACCAACGAATCCACTATCAGGCTTGCCTCAAAGTGAAGCCGTATACAGCAATGTTGCACTAGCGGCTCCAACGCAAGCGACAAATATTTTGGCTACACCTACAACGCCGTTTACGAATACTGCGCAAGCGGATAACTTTGTGACGGTGAGTTTTGTTTGGTTTATGTGTAAATGCGACTTTGGCTCACAGCAATTTAATGTCGATAGTAAGGCGATATTTGAAACTTCTATCGTAAAATGGAAACACTAAAGAAATTAGATGTATCCGTCTAAGTAAATACTTCTAAGTTTTCGAAACATTTGAGAATTTTGGTCCCCTTTAAACAATATAAAAATTTGTTTCAGTCTGAGTTGAGTACAACATAGTAATTTGCTAGAATTTTATAGTTGTTGGCATTATTTGTAGAACACTCTGTGGTAGTTCCACTAAAAACAAGAATTTAATCATTTTATCCATAAAAATATCTGGGTAGTCTAGATAAGCTTATGGTAGCCGCTCGCATGGTTTAAAGTCGACCAGAGCCTCGTTTGTCTATTGTTAGTATTGAGCTTAGTGTTGCTTTGACTCTCTCTCTCTAACAAAGTCAAACTGACAGCTTTCTTGGACTTGTATTTAGCTAGTCTGATAAAGTTAAAACAATAGATTATCCAAACTAAGGAACACAGACTCAGAACCGACGGCCTCTGCAACTGCAAGGCTTCATGAAACCTTATCTAGAAGAATTACAAAAACCAGGGCAGCGATTAGGACAGCAAAGGGAACGTTTAAACATTAAACATTAATTGAAAAGGAGAGGACGGTTATCCTACTTTCTTCCAGCCACTAGCACATTTAAATGCCTTTCATTCCAAGAATGCGTTGCCATATTTCATTCGATATATATTCAAGTCACTAAAATTGGTGAAGCTGTCCTTCAAAATGTTGTATTAATCATTCAATTTTGTGGAGCACTATGGAAGATATGACGCTTTATTGACCAGATACAGCGCTTTCAGGTTTTTAAAACCTTTTTTTTTTAATATATAACTAAATCTGAGCAAGGTGACTATTTTACGCAATATTAATAGAAATATCGTTTGGTAACAGAAAAATACCTTTTAGAAATAAGTATATAGATCGTCAATAAACCAATGAATAGCCCTTAAACCACTCATCCGTTATTTGGATATATTTCTGAAAAATTTTACATTACTTAAGCAGGGGCTCACATAGAACACGAGTTCAAAGCCCGTTGTGAATCCACAGAGTTGCTGATATATTTTGAAGCCGTGATGAAAATCCTTATGCATCTGAGATTTAAATCTTCCAATGTATCACTAAAGAAAGGAAACGCCAGAAAGCGTTATCAGCTCTTCAGTTGCAGTTAGCCGAACAGTTGCAGAGAAGATGGAGCTTTTACAATTCCGGAAACATCTGAGCCATTCCGCGTGTTTATTTATAAGGCAGGGACCGGTAACAGATTTTTCCGATCCCATCCATCCATCTCTCGCTCGTGCGAGTATAGATAAATTATCCTAAAAGCAGCTTGTAATTGGCGAAGGGCATATCAATGCGTTCTTTGCAAGGAAGAATCAGTTTATAGCTTCCATTATAGCTGACACCTCAGCCTGGAAGACACCACAGTACTCCGATAGTCGAAGTGAACGGCTCAGAGCAGGGATGCCAGAAAATAACCTTCTCCCACTCTACCGTTCATTTGAAACCATTTGTGAAAATTACTATACCACCGGGTAAAGTATAATAGTTTTCTATCCATTCCTTCCTGCTTGCGATTTTTATGACGAAATTTCTATCCGGAACCAGAGTTTCAATACAACGGTCATTACAATTTTTTTTTTATTTCAGTAAACTTGTGTTATTATTTCAACATCGATGAAAATTTCTATGAAGTAGAGCTATTGCTATAAAAAGGGGTTCGGCGTGTCTTGGAGGTTTCTGTCGTAAATGAGTTCTTTAAGAGAACACACTTCGCAGGTGGATGGCGGCAGGTCGCAGAATTGAGACCTGATACCTGATGGACCATCTATTTTTAACAAAGATTGCCTCTCAGAAGATTTTGGCAATCTTTGAATAAAAAAAAATACCCAACAGTTTGAGAGAAGGGCTAGGTACAATACGCAGCATTAGTTGAACCTCAGAAGCACAGAACTCTGGCTCTTAGCTAGAAGGTCAGACTCGAATAAATATTAACAAATTTATTAAACTATATCCGATGCCAAAACTTTTCCAATAATATTTTTGGCTTCAGACAGTTTCTCTCATAAATGATTTTGCATACTAGAATTAGTCGAGGTAAGATCAGGTAAGAGACAAATTTATGTAGAGCTTTCAATCGAAAATTTCGATTCGCAGATGATGAATTAGTTCTGTAGAGGATTTACTACGTTTAGTTTTTATTGCCTTACTGTTCACTGCTTGCTTTAACATGACGAATTTATTGAAATTTTAGCGACAACAAATTTCTACATTTTTGATCGATTTATTCGATAAGGCCGGGCATTCATTTGAATTGCTTTCTATACATTCGCATGTTTGTCCGATGTATACAAAATTCTAGCCCTTCGCTTTTTTCCGAAATCGATTCTATAGCACGCTTTCTATTTTTGGAGGTCTATACGGGAATTTAGGAAAAAAATTCGTAAATCTTGACACCAATTTTCGGGAAAAATATAGAGAACTTCCAAGTCCCAAATGTTTTTGTAATGAAAAACTCAGTATTTTTTTAGAAATTTGCAGCGATCACTTTAATCGTAATACGAACTCATATGTAGGTACTCACTTTTTCTTTGTAAATCTGATTTCTTGCAGAAGCCTTCTGCACAAACGGCTGCTGCTGTCAATGAAAATACCCGCCAAGAAGGAGTAAGCACTTACCTAATCGAGCGCCAACGTCAACTCGAACAACAAATCTATCAGCTCAAACTACAAGCACAACAACAACAAGATTTAATTTTGAGACAACTAAAATTACTTGAGGAACAAGCGAGATTTAATAACTTGCCACACCCCACTGTCCAAACACCGCCGGTGTCGACTGCACAAACTTTCGTGCAAACTTTACAGCAGCAGTCCCATCAGCATCAGCAACCGCAGACACACCCTCAGCCACATGCACAACACAACCAACAATTACAAAGTGCTGCGCAGCAACAACAACAAAGCCCAATTGTCAGTTTCACCATACGTCCCTCTGTGGAATTCATACCAAACCCTGTCACCCAAAGTACAACAACATTTTTCAACACTTTCCCTGTGGAGCAACAATTGCCATTACATGAGAGTGGCAATAAATTTTCGCTTAGCGGCAGTAGCAGCAATTATACAGCCAAATATATTGGCAGTGACGCAACAACAATTGCCAGTGAATGATCCCATACAAAAGGTTTTCCAAAATTTGCAAAATCTTCAGAGCCAAAAAGTGAATCCAACTCAACCGCAGGCGACAAACGCTGAAGCTTCAGTGCAGATACAGGCATCGAATCAATTTAAAATCACACCTACTTTTCCAACCGTGCAGACACCGTTCGAATTGTCACTCTTTCAGTCATTGCCGCAGCATAATCACCAGCAATTCCATCAGCAGCAGCAGCAGCAGCAGCATCCACCGGCGCAACAGCAATCGCCTTTAGTGCCCACTTTTTTGAGTCAAGCGCTACTGGAACAGCAGAAACAGCAACAACAACATAGCCAGCGGCAGCAACAAACATTGCAACAACAGCAACAGCATCGTTCGCGTTTATTTCGCCAAGAGGCGGGCACGTCTAATTTCGGCCAACAGCAGTCAATAACTCAATTTTCTTCGGTCCAATCTGTCATACCAACAGCCATACTAAATCAGCAGCAACAACAACAGCAACAACAAACATTGGATAATATAAATTTCTATCGGCAGCATTTAGATCCACAAATTAGCAATCAATTGCAACAAAATGCACAATTATATCAGCAACAGCAGCAGCAATTACAACCACCGCCAGGTAAAGCATCCAATACAGTAAGTACTAGCAGTAGTAGTAGCATTAGTAGTATTAGTAGTAGCATTAATAGCGGAATTAGTAGTAGAGTGAATAACAGTAGTAGCAGAGGTAGCACACAGAGCGCTTCAAATAGTAGTAGTAGTAGTAGTAGTTCCTTAAGTAGCGTCGGCCATAAGTCTACGCATAGCTTTCCACGTAGTTTAAGTAGTAGAGATAAATTTCATTATACAAATTTTGAAGAATTGAAATTAATCGGCAATGTTTTAGCACTAAATCGTGGCATTAACAACTTTGCACCTCCAACTTCACAAAACCTGCCCTTCGCTGGACGATTCTAAGCATTTGGTATGAGTCGCAACCGCAACGCCACAAGGATGAGTACAACCTGTAGCATTCACTTCCACAGCCGCCGTTAGCTCAATACACGCAAAAGTAATTAATGCTGAAGTTATTTGCACTTAAATACCATTACTGGCAGAACGCATCAGCAATTTGCTTACAAAGAAAATAATGCCCCAACACCAAGAGCAGCAACATTTCCGCCCACAACTAACTTCTTCTTACTACTTATTAACAATAACAAATGCACGGCAAATCCTTTTTGTGAATGACTTAACTAAGTATATGAAAACGTAGTTGTTATAAATATTTTTTGAGATGGCAGGGACCGTAACAGTTACAAATGTTATTAAAAACTGTCGCTCTTTAACAATTATTTTTTGACCTTTATTTAATTACTCCTCAAATAATATTTTTTCGGATTTTTATTTTATAAATCCAAAATAAGAATTATTTTTGAATTAGTATATCTTAGATAACAGTTATTGAAGTTTTTTATTTATAAAAGCCATCAATATAAATCAGTTACTGACTTTTATTTTTAAAAACTATATTATAAATGTCATTTGTGTAAGCCGTAGTAAACTTTGGTTCTCCAACACCTTTTTAACTGCGAAAAACAATAATGACTTTTATACGTATGACTTAAAAAATAAAAGTCTGTGAATGATTTATATTGACGATTTTTATAAATAAATGTCTTCAACAACTGTTCTAAACATATAAAATAAAAATTAAAAACAACTGTTACTTACAGATTATTTAGATAAAAATCAAAAATAATTGTTATTTTTTTAATTTTGCATAAAAATTACTAATAATAATTTGTTTTCAAATTTGATTCTCGTGTTAAAAAAATGTATTGGTATGACAATGACAGTTTTCATCAATAACTGTTATGTTCGGTCCCTGAAAAATGCTAATCGTATTTAGAAATCATGAATGTATGCATATATA